ACCAAATCGACGCCAGGTATTGGACTTTGGTAGTGATGAGCTAAGGGGTTCACACCCAGCTCATGGAAAATATTACTTCTCGTTTAATTAATTAAATTATATAGATTTATCGTTTTGGAAAATTGTTTGGGTAATTATTCGGAACAATTTTAATTACCGGAATTGATTATTGAGAAAACTGCGTCGCAATTCGAAATTTAGGACCGTGGATATTTTTTTGAAATTACTTTTTCACTCTGAAGTGAATTATTTATAATCTAACCGTTATTCGCTAGTTACTAGAAATTTATTATTCCACGTGTTATTAATTGTTGAGAACTAATTTATTAAATTTCGACGCAAATAAGACTAAACACCCGCAGAAAAATTGAGGCACGTAATTTTCATATTGAGTAAAATTATAATTTTTTATCTAATTTGATTGCCAATTTCTGCCAGGGGAGTCTTATATTGAATTCATACCAACGATTTTGTTAGCATCATTATTCCGGTAAAATTTTATTATAAAACTAATTATTCGTATGGATTAAGTCCGAGTAAAATTTAGTCAAATTTACAAAAGACTGTTCTAAGAATTTGTGAATGCGTAGAGATAAGCTCGTGTTCAAAATGGCGGAAAAAGAAGCGTCGGTTTAAGCCGGAATTTTAAGAAGTAAATTTATTAATTTATGAGAATAAATTTAGGAGTTTTTATTGTAAGCTAATGACTGGTAAAATTTTAATAAATATTAACGTTGTAAATTTTCGGAGTAAATTTTTGGAAATCCAAAATAATAAAGTAGAATCAGTGTGTGTGACGCGTGGGTAATGTGTGTGAAGATCGTGTGGGGTGTGTGTGCGATTGTACGCGTTCTCTACTTGTTGATGAATTGCCGAGTGGAGCAATTCGTACAGTCCTAGAGCGTGAGGGTCCGGTGGACAGCGCGACGTAGTTAGAAACCGCAGTATAGACGCTCCGTATGAGGGTACTGCGGGAATAGCAATCTTTTTTTGACGAACCCTACTTGTTGATGAATTGCCGAGTAGGACGACTAGGACTTGGTGCGACGTCTTCTGCTTGTTGATGAATTGCCGAGCAGAGGATTAGCATTAAGTGGAGTAGCCGGTTCCAGCCCGAAACCCTCCAGTAGTCATAAGTTGTAGTAGCGACTCCCCGGTGGGGAGCGTGAAGTAAGAGACCTTAGTATTAAGTCGTAGTGTTAAGTGGAGTCGCCGGTTACAGCCCGAAATTCTCCAGTAGTTTTAAGTGAGTAGTGTAAGTGAGTTGAGGAGTGTACATACAGTGTACGAATTGTTAATTTTTATTGTTAATAAAATTTGGTACCGTTGTTAATAAAAATATATTTATTTCAGACAACCTTTCTTTCTCTCTCTCCCTGAAGATTAAGTATCTCAGCTCTGGTATCCGGTTCCAGGAACCGAGACAATAATCCTGGTGGCGCCATGAAGCAACTTAGAGTCATTTGTTAAAAATATTGTTAATTGTTTAAATTTAATCAGGGGCCTTAAGTACGGGAAATAAACCACCCGTTACAAGTATTATAATAAAATCTAAGATAACGCTATGTCAAACCGAAGCTAAATGCACCAAAGACTTAGGCGGCCGAATAGGTATATCTGGGGCGGATCAACTCAGTTAAGTGCAACTAAATGCAACAAAAATTAACTGAAAGGAGAACCAGGAGCCGCCTTGTGCAGGCGTTTTTAAAGACTCTTGTTGCTGATGCGGCAAGAATCCCCGTCGGTTAATCTGTCCGATGGTTTCAACTGCGGTTCTCGCGCATTATATTAACTATTATAATGAATTTGTATGTGTGGACTTTAGGCTTACATGCCATAAGAATAAAAAAAAAAATAAATTTAATAAATATACGGGGCGGACATAACATTCCCCCGGAAAAGGAAGGGGTTGCACAATCCCTTGCTTTTCCTATGTCTACGGCCCGTATGAGCGAGAACCGCTTAACAGTTCTAATGTTTTATAAATTTTGAAGATTTTGCAATTTTAAAAAGGAAAATTCTTTACTGAGTAGTGATCCGCTGCGTGGCTTTTCTTAATTTATTTAATGATTATTGATGGATAATCTGACAGTTTTATTAATTTATTCAGATGGGTAATTTGATCAATGATTGACTTCCAGTTATAAGTCTTATAGAAATTTTAGTTATTTGGTGTAAGTTAATTTTCTTTCATGGATAAGCCATGGTTCAGCCCAATTGGCGGTAAATAGCCCAATCTGACAACACTGAAATAAAGTATCAACACCCCCTCCATCCAAGCCTCCAAGTAACTCATCAAACATCATGCCCCCTCCAAAACCCCTAACTACCCCAGCAGATAATACACAATCTGTAATCCCAAAACGTCCCCTCTCTACTTCTTCTAACTCCGAACTGACTATGGAGGTGGACACTACTAAGCAAGCCCGACAGGCTGACCACAACAATGCAAAAACAAAGCCTAAAAAGCTTAGAACTGAACACGACCACAATTGAAGATTTATTCTTCTTCTCGCTATTGAAAAAGAAATCTCGACCAACCCAGGAAAATACATCCATTCTTTCGACCAACTCCAAAACTTATTTGACAAAGCGAGCCAGTCTGACACCATCAAAGAGACAATAACCGAATATAACTTCGCACCCTTGGATATAAGACACACTTTGACGATCTTATACAAGTTCCCACAAACAAGAGGACAAAAACAAAGATTTACCAGGCTTAAGAATAAAATAACCAATGAATTTAATCTAGCATTTGAAGAAAAAACCTGGCTAACCTCAGAGTCTGACTCGGAACAAAGTTCAACCGAAATTACTCATCAACTCCATCTCCCCCGCCTCCCATTTTCTCAATAATAATTCTCTACTATGAATACTATGAACATATTACAATGGAATTTAAATGGACTAAGCACACAATACGAATTTCTTAGACTCCTGGTCTTAAACAACAAACCTGACATTATATGTATTCAAGAACCTCACTTCAAAAACAATTCCTCTATGTCAACCTCAATGGCTACAAATGTTTCTTTAAAAACAGACCATCAGGTCATGCGAGCGACGGGGTTGCCATATATGTCAGAAACACCATTCCATGTAAACAAATCATCGTAAATAGCAATCTTGAAGTGTGATGTAATCTATACATCCCCAACAGTCACAATTTAATAGCTCACGAACTAAACGTACGAAGTAAAAGACCCTTGCTTAATAGTCAGTAACTTCAACAGCCACAATTACATATGGGGCTCCCACAAAATTGACTCAAGTAGAGGAACTATTATCGAAGATTGGATTGATTACTACAACCTCACCTTACTAAGCAACGGTTCTCCCACCCACTTTAACATCTCATCGGGTACAGAAAGTTGCATTGACCTCACTCTAACGAGCCCAGATTTAACAGATAATATATCCTGGAGAACTGATGATAACCTCTATGAAAGCGACCACTACCCCATCCACATCTCCATCGAGAATCCTAATCACGCAACAGAAGAAGCTAATCCCCCAAAATGGAAATTCCCCAAAGATAGATAGAATCTGTTTGCTCAAACTGCAGAAAACAATATCAAACTGCTTTCCACTCCTAACTCAGAACAACCTATTGATGAAATTATAAATAACCTAGTCCAAGCCATCAAAGATGCCGCTGATATTGCATTTCCTAAAATATCAAACAATAAACACAATAAACAATACGAATGGTGCTCCGAAAAACCAAAAAATCCTTAAACGACAAAAAAATGCTTTCAGAAACTACAGAAGAAACAAAAATGATCTTGAACTACTAATAGAATACAAACAATGCCGAGCTATTGCTAGAAGGAACCTCAAAGAATCCAGAAGATCATCTTGACAAAAATTTGTCTCCTCCATAAATTCTCAAACTCCTCCAGAGATAATCTGGAAAAAAATTTTAAAAATTAATGGAAACAAAAGTAGTTATACCTCAACCACCTAGTTCGACAAAAATAACTCTCCAATTACCAATGACATAGAGAAAGCCGAAATCTTAGCCGACACTTTTGCCTTCAACTCCAGTGACGATAACTTTCCTGAAACATTCCGTAATAACCTCAATAATTACACAAACTCAAACAGCTTACCTAATGCCTCACAAGAACCTCTAGCCAACGATGAAATTAAAGATGTACTTTCCCAACTCAACGCCCCCCTCACTATTTCCGAACTAAATCAAGTGCTAAAAAAAAACAAGAATTCAAGCCCAGGGCCCGATGGAGTACCAATAATATTGATCAAATATTTATCAAATACTAGCCTCCAATGCATTCTCGACACATACAACTATATCTGGTCTCACAACGTCTTCCCAAAGATTTGGCAACTAGCTACCATTGTACCAATTACTAAACCGGGTAAAGATCAATCCAATCCCTCCAATTATCCACCTATCTCATTGACGTGTAATCTAGGTAAAATCATGGAAAAAATGATTAATAAACGTCTCACTTGGTACCTTGAAAACCTAAAATGGTTCTCGGCCATACCAATCATCACCTACACCAACTTCACAGCTTTATCAAAAAGACATTCTCCAATAAGCTAACAGCGATAGTAATTTCGCTTGATATTGAAAAAGCATACGAAATGGTCCACAGACCAAGAGTCATTGATATCCTACTAATGAATTGAAACTACTTGGGCCAATACTCAACTTCATAAAAAATTTTTTAGAAGAAAGGCTTATACAAGTAAGAGTTAACAACTCTTTATCTAATCCCAGGACAATTAAGAATAGTCTCTCTCAAGGATCGGTTATAAGTGTCCTCCTATTCCTAATAGCCATCAATGAAGTTGTGCAATGTATATCAGCCCCGTCTCACGCTCTTCTCTTCGCTGACGACCTAACTATCTTCTGCTCAGGTAAAGACCTCCAAAACATCTGTAACATCCTTCAAACGTCATTAAACCACTTAACAAACTGGAGCAACAAAACAGGCTTTAAATTTTCTACTAGCAAATCAGAGTTTATGATCTTTACCCGTAAAAAGAAAATCCAACCGGAGTCAGCAAAATTATTTCTCAATAACAAAGAACTACTATGGGCCTGCAAATTAAAAATCCTAGGTATCCTTTTCAACAAATTTTCAACATGGAAGCTACACATAACAGAACTAAAACGGCAATGCCATCAACGCCTAAACTTGCTCAAGTCCATCGCCTCTAATAAATGGGGAGCTGACTCACAAATTCTAATCAACACCTACAGAGCCATCATCCGATCGAAACTTGACTACGGCTGCACCCTCTACCAATTCGCCTCAAACCACCACCTAAAAAAACTAGATTCTATTCAGATCACTTCACTAAGAATTGCCCTAGGAGCTTATAGGACCAGCCCCAGAGTGAGCTTATTAGCAGAATCTGGAGAAACACCGTTGGACATAAGAAGAGAACAATTATCCTTAAACTTTGCTTCCTCAGCTCCATCAATCATCCCAGAGCTCCACCAAAACCAACCTCAAAGACACCTAAACCTCACTTCTGATAATTCTTCAGAAATCCACGACCTCCTCATCAAGCTGACCAACAATGTTGAATTCCGAAATTTAACTCTATACCACCCTCAATTCTCTCAGGTCCCCTCCTGGTTAGCTCCAACAGAATGCTACGACCTATCTATTGGTGAACGTACTTGGGAAAAAGAAAACACACCTGCAATCCTATATAGGAACCTTTTTGCAGAAATCATCAACCAACTAGATCAATTCACCCAGATCTATACTGATGGATCTATTCTCAACAACCTACGAGGATGTGCCATAATCATTAATGACAGGATATTTAAGTATAAACTCCCTCCATCATACTCCATCTTCTCATGCGAAGCCTTTGCGATACTCAAGAGTCTCAAATTAATTGGTCAACTGAACATCCACAAAGCAGCTATATTCTCCGATTCAAAATCAGTGATAAAAGCACTGTTAAATCCGAACTCCTCTGATAACATCATCCAAGAGTTCCAAGCTATTATCTACAACACAAAATTCATACTAGAGTCATCAGAATCATCTGGATCCCCTCTCACCAAGGTATTAACGGCAACGAACTTGCAGACAACGAGGCAAAAGATGCAACAACCTCAGGATCTGACCTTACCTTTTCTCTCCAAACCACTCCTACTAACTTCAAAAAGATGGCCAAGAACTACATCGAGACCAAATGGAACAGACTTTGGAGTATGGGCTCATCTCATATACATGAAATCCGCAACAACACTACAGAGACAAGACCTCTCCTCAAAAAAAGATCTGACCAATGCCAAATGACCAGACTAAGAATAGGGCACACTGTGTTTTCTCACAATCATTTACTAAGCAAAACTAACGTTAACCTATGCCCAGCCTGCAACGAGTACGCCTCTGTCAAACACATCTTAATGTCATGCCCTCAACTCAACTTACTAAGATCTCAGCACCGAATTCCAACCAGCATCCAGACAGCCCTCAATAGTGAAGATTACCTCCCACAAATTTCTATCTTTCTAAATCAACTAAAGCTAATATGTTAAATTTTTCCTATACTGTTCTAAATCCAGCTATTTGCAAATGTATATTCTGTTTAATTTAATTATTAAAATGTATTAGATAGTAGTCGCAGAGGACCTATGTTGTCATAGCGACTTTAAATAAACTTATTAAAAAAAAAAAAATGTCTTTATGTTCATTTTATCGAAGCTGGTCAATATTTGGAGCCTTGACTCTAATCTACTTTTAACTAATTTGAGTGTAGTTTTAAAAACATACCTAAAAGCCTTTTTTATGTATATTCAAATATTCCACGTAAATTTTAGTTACTGTTCGATTATAAACGAATTCGCTAGAGTAGTTGCTTTTATTTTTGTGTACTAACCTCCAACGCTGAGCACTGATACAGTGGTAAACATTTGAACGAATATAACTTTATTATAAACTTTTTCCAAAGTTTCTGCTGACAAAATCAAACTTTGATGTCTCTGAACAATTCTTCCCAATTCTTGAGAATTCGCGTTTACATTATCTTGATTTTCACCAAACTTTTTCATACGTTCCATTAAAATATCAAATTGTATATAAATGTGACCTGTAATTGCTGCGAACATTGTATCAGTACCTAAATTTGTAGAACATGTAATAACCATCTGTCCACATTGGTTGGCGAAAATAACGTAATATAAATATTGGTTGATATTGTTGAACATACAACTTCCAGGAAGTATGAATTTATGTCCGTATTGATAAACAGTATTATTCAATGAATCTGAAATGATTTTTACGCTTGGTTCATCAAAAATAGTAGTTTTTGCAACATATGATACTAATGATGCCATTCCAGAACAATAAAAAATAGTTGCCATTTTATTGGAAGTCTGTGAACAATCAATCATTTGTCTTATTTCATTTTCATCTCTAATAAGCTCCCAGTCTTCGAACGCTGAATTCAGAATGTAACTGAGATGATGTCGATCGGTGTAAATGAAATAAAGCTTACTGAATACTAAAAGACCAAATGCAACCATTAAAAAACAATCAAGATATTCTTCGGTATCACCACATCCGATCGAAAATTGTACGATTGGAGATATAGTAAGAAGAATCTGTAAAAAATTAATATGTATATACTAGGGTGGCGCAAAAAAAACGACTATTTTTTTTTTTTGAGTCTCGAGTGAAAAAATGTTAGTTTTTGATGTTTTAAGAGCCCTCACCAAAGGACAGCCCAAAAAAAAACTTTTAAGAGGTCACTCCAAATTTTTCAAAATTTCAAAAATCGTCAAAAATCGAATTTTTTTTTTAAAAATTTTTTTTCTCGTTTAAAGTGTTGGGAGTGGTACGTTGGGGTCTTTTTGGTTTGAAAAAATCTTAACCTACGCGGCAAGGTCAAATCTCAACCAAGCTGATTTCTAAGACCAGCTTGGGATTCAAACCCTCGCCTGGCAGTTGATTAAATAAAATTATTAAATTAGAAAAAAATTATATTTTCTATGATGTGCTTGATTTTTAGTTCATCTCGTGATGTATTTTTATCGATTATTGTACTAAATAAAAAAAAAAAAATGCATGGAATTTTAATTTGAATAGTAAAAGGTCGCTCGAAAAAATCTAAACTAATGTACTAATAAATTACATGACTACATTGAAAAGCGGTACAAAGTGGGGGGTAAAAAAATCGCACGATCTGGCCACACTGAGTCTTGCACCGCCTTCTGTAGTTGCCGTTGACTGGTCCCTTGTTAAACAGCTTCTCCTTGGATGACTTCTTCTGGATCTGTGAAACACTTTATGTAAAAGAGCAAAAGCTCTTTAGTCAGATATAATCTGCGAACGCTTACGTTTTTCAACTCAGATCTTTGGATAATTTTATTACTCCACAGAATCGGTTATATCAGCGAATAATTCCATCGCATTTGCGAGCGCGGAGCGCGACTGTGCGTGCCCTCACGGTGGATCTCCGAACTAATATTCGGACTTAAAATATTTTCTGCTGCGTTACAAAATTTATTTAATTTATTAAATAAATTTTTATTTTTTTTTTTTTAATTTTTTTTTTAATTAATTTCTACCCGTTACAGTAAAGCTAAGCAATCATGTAACTTAATAATTTTGAGAGTAGTTAAAAATTTAACTATTGATATGATGATATAAAAAAAAAAAACATTTATGACTTTTGTTTTTTAAATTATTAAATAAAGTGTTTTAGGCGTAGACTTAATATCACTACAAATTTCAGGATCTTTTAAAATCAGTCTAAGGTATTACATAAAAAAAATTGAGCCATAAATTTAATATTGATCGTCAATGTTGACAATTTAAAAAATTTCAAAGTTCTACAAATCCGGAATTTTTCAAAAATTTTCTAGGAAACATTTTTTTTTGTAGCCCCGAGTATTCTCTTCAAAACGAACCCAAGCACTTCTTTGTATCTATTATAATTTTTTAAATATTTAAAAAATAAACTTGAAGAAGTATTTAGTAAAACGAAGAATTTTGCAAAACTTCTGATAAAAATTTTTTTCTTTTGGTAGAACTTTGTTTTAGAATTAGAGAAAACTTTCCACCAAATTTCATCGAAGATAAAATTTTATTCCAGGTTGAAAAACTGACCCTAAAGGTTTTCAAAAAATATTAAACAATGTTGGGTGTAGAAAAGTGAACAATGATTCACCCTCTAGACTATCCCTAAAACTTTTCCTTAGCTCCAAGCTCATAGTACTTAAAATATAATTTAGGGTGTATCATTGGTTGCATTATTTATATTTGTTAAAAATGCTAGCCGTAAGATGGACGGTGTGGCTTAATGTATATAGAATAAGTGAAAGGAAATTTAGTATAGACCGGATAGCTCAAATGGTAGAGTAGCCGACATGTCTTCGGAAGGTTCTGGGTTCGAATCCCAGTCCGAGCTATCTAATAAAATTTTTTCTCACATATTCTATAAACTTACATTAAGATGATCCTCTCAACAATCCTTTCTCAATCCTTTCCTAACAATTATCCTGTTACGTGAA